CCCCGCCATCCCCCCACCCACCCTGCCTCCGTCGCACCCTCCCCGCCTCCTTTTACACGCCTTTCTGTTGGAGGGAGGGAGGGAGGGAGGGAGGGAGGGAGGGAGCGAGAGGAAAAGAGAGAGATGGGAACAATTAAAATACTGTAGGGCAATCAAACTTTGAACACACTTTGAACACCATGGGCGATCAGACCTCATGTGTCCAACGTACCTGTGCTCCAAACCAACGTTGCCCAGGCACGAAGCTCTGCAAGACCTCCTCGTCCGTGCCAAGGCATCCATCTTTTCGCTTCAGCTCAGCCCGGCGGCTCTCGAACGCCTGCGAAAAAGCTGGCTCCTTCCCAACACGAACATCCTGGAGGTTAAAACGCTCATTTCAGGCTCTTCTCCTTGGATCCATGGCAAACCTCCGAAAGACCCCTCGCAAGATGGCCAGGGCGCATTTCCAGCACCCAAGGTCTCCTTCAAGATCCTTCCGGCGTCCGGGGACCACGGAGGGGACCACAGGTCTGATTCGATCTGGGCGTCTCTGGTTGTTCCAAGAAGCACTTGTTGGAGGGTCTAGGGTTGATGGACTCATTGCTTTTAAGAAGCTAGGATCAAGTCTTTCTTCCATCCCTAAGAAGTTGTTTCTGGTTCTGGCCTCAAAACCTTCAAACCTTCGAAATGAAAGTTTCCTAAGACTGGCGCAACAACAGTTGGCTGAAAGCCTCCAAACCTGTCTGAAAAAAAGAATCTAGAGAGCCCCCAACTACCCCATGCCCTAAGCATAGATCCATCCACCACACCTTGCGGAAGACCTCTGCACCAAAAAACACCTACCCACTCGGGCAGCATCCATCCACTCGCACCACATCCCTACCCCGAAAAAACCGGTCCATTTCAGGTGCTCCGTCGGCGCGTTGGTCTCCAGAATCTCCTCCGAGAGCACGTCTCTGGGGCGCTTCGTCGGGAGCCTCGGCACCGCCCGGGCGGCGCGGTGGATTCGCTTCGGTGGCGTTGGTGGCTGCGGAGGTCCGGTGAGCGGGTGAGAGCAATGGGTGTAAAGCTCAAGACTGCTAGGGAGACCGACACCCAGCGTAAGAAAAATAGACCAGTCTACCCATTTGGCTACGGATCTCCCTTATTAAAATACACACCCATGTGTTATAAGTGTTTACCATTGTTGTATAGCATAGGCACTGGCAGTTCTTGGGCATCCGGCGCCCAAGGATGGCATGGACTTCTGGGGCCCAAGGAACACGGTGATACGCACCAACACGGTCTGGTCGAACAGTCATGGTACTGGAAGCCAAGTCTGCAAGGCCTGCAACGGAAGTGATAAGTGTAACCCTTGATTCATCCTGCTTACGTTGTGAATGATGAATGAACTATATTGACATAGTGACATCCTGTGTTGAGTTTATGACTATATATGTGTTTTTTGCTGTCCCCCGCGGATGTATGCTTCCTTCAACCATGTCTCCCCCTTTCTTTCTCCTGATTCACCCTGACTCGGCCCCCGGAGAACCCTCAAATAGCCGGACGCCATCTGAGACCATGAGGTGGTCTAAGCCAAGCGTTCGCAAGTTCGGAACTGATCTGAGATGATCTGAGCGGCCAGTAGACACCTGGGTGCTCCTTGAGAGGCCAATTCTCAATGAAAGCCTCTGAGAGCTCGAAGGGGAGCCGAAGCTTGTTCACATCTCCTTAGGATCGAACTTTCGGCCCAGTTCGGAGCAAGACTTACGAGTTCACCAGCCAAGCATCCCACGCACACATGCATCTTGCTTGTCAGCTGGGTAATCACACCCTCAAACTAGAACCTACAAACTCTAGTACAGTCACTGGTACTGTGTGCTTGAAGAAAGCCTCAACTACACTCAAGGTGATAAAAGCACCGGAAAGCCCCCAAAACTCCTCCAAGCGGAGCACCACAAGAACTCCGCCCGACTGAACTGCCCGCCCGCGAAAAGCGCTCAGCGGCGGTTGCCGACGATGAACTGCACCCGCTCGCCGTAGCGGCGCTTCAGGTCCAGCAGGTCATCCAAGATCTGCAAGTCGCCCGGATAGTGATCCACCGCCTGCAGAAAAAGAAGACCGCGCGTCTTAAGTCCCGCTCGGTGAATCAGTGAAGGAGTTTTTTCTCTGCTCAGGTGAGTCGGGTGCTTGGGACGGGTCCGGTCGTCTGGCTCCGGGCCGAAGATGTGCGATCTTTGGAGATGGAAGAGTCCCAGTCCCTACCAATCCCTGCACAGGTCATCCGGCTTTGGGCGGGGTCCCGGCAACCACGGCATGTTCTGCTGGTGCGCCGAAGCACGTCGCCACCGAAGACAAAGTGGGCGTTCTCCTGCAGGATGATGGAGCCATCAGGTGCCCGGTGCAGGACCTGGGATAACCTAAGCATGGGCGAGGAGAAGAACACTGCAATCCGAAACTGGATACAATCAAAGGCCTCTCGTTTGAGCACAAGTTGGTTAAAAGCAGAACGAAAGTTGTACAGTAGCATTGCAGCCTGAAGTGGCCGTTGAAAGGCTACGTAGATCCTACGGGCCGGAAGAGTGCTTGGGACATGTGGACACCCACATGAACCGCTGACCAGTGGCAAAGACATGAACCGCTGACCTGTGGCAAAGACACAATCACCAAAGCAAATCTAGCTCTTTTCCGGTGCCTCTCAGTCTGAGTGTCCTGTTGCAAGTCCCCAAAACCCATGATGAACAGACCACCACACAGGATACGATCTTCTGCCATCGGGGGTCAACACTCGGGGGCCCAAACTTAGATTCCCAAAACCACGTTGTTTATTTGGGCGGGTAGTCACCGCAGGTCAACGACCCACCACGCTTTCATGACCTCGGCATAGTTATCCGTTGCCATCTATAGTGTCCGACTGGATTATAGAATGCCGCTTTTTTCTCAAGTTTCATCGCAATGTATAGTGGGGATCCAGCAAGCTATCATTCAGTCCATCGGAAGTTTTGGAGGTAATTTAAGAAAAAGGGAAATAGTGTGCATCCCAGACCGTTGAGTGCAGCAAACCCTTTTTCCGATTGCGCAATTGTTGTCCTGAGTGATCCTGTGTCATTGTTTGGTCAGGCAGGCCAGCCCCATATCTAAGGTGTTCAGATTGTATACCAAATCTGTGCAAGTATGCAAGAAAGAGATCTTGTCAGATCCGTCCCAAAGAGATCTTGTCAAGATCCGCGCCTTCAAACGCCTGCAACTCCCAAATTCAGGTCATTTTCCCTGACCAATTAGCTGGGCAGTGAATTGGGGTGTCCATTGCCATTGTCCAGCATTACTTCGAAAAAACAGCTACACAACATGAAAAATTACAATAAGAATGCTACAGAAAATGAGGATTGTCTCCAAAAGTGTCCAAAAAGTGAAGAAAAGTCTCCAGCTAAACCCCTACCAGCTTTAGCAATAGGAAAAAGACATGTATATATGTATATGTAAATATATAAATGTTGCTCCTTGAAGCCCTCAACACCAGAGAGAACACAGTCCCCGCTATTAGTTTTGTTCACCTTATGGCCCCACTGCTGCTCTCAATAGACCAAGGGGGACCACAAGTTCCTCTGTCCCACTTGATTGCTGAGGACGTCCAAAAAATGGGAACTCCTGAGACTCCAAAAGATTCTGGCTGTTCCTCCCCTCTCCTTGCTACCACCTCGTACGACCACCTTCAACCAGCTCGATGGGGCTGTACGGGAGCCCTTTCCCCCGGACTGGCCCAGGAGCTCGATGAAGCGTTCCCAGTGTTCCAAGTTCCCCTCCAAGTCCGTGACGTAGCTGATGGGTCCATCGCACATCGCCCCAGACCAGTCCGTTTGGGCGGACGTAACGACGTAACGACCGGTCCGCCCGGAGTCGTGGTACGACAGCTAGGGAGTTCTTTCACCCATGTCATGATACAAATGATACAAGAAAAGATCAAAAGGTATCCCACTTGCTGGCTGAAAAGCTGGTAGTTTCCACTCTCAAGTTTTCCAGGATTCACAACAAAGAACGACCAAGTTTGCAGCCAATCTCACATCACCTGTAGACTGTAGCCAGAAACTAGGCCCAAAAAAATAGGCACGACAGTTCTGCTCATGTTTTGTTTTTCTCCTGGCCCGAAAAGGGTTGCTTGGAGAGACAGATTGCTAATTTCTTTTGGCATACCGGCCAGCTACCAGCCAGAGATTCCACCAAATGGACCGGCACAAGTGCTTCTGTGGGTGTGATTCTATCTTTTGCCAAGGTAGAGCTGCAAAACAGCAAGCACCAAGTGTCAGAGCCAAGCAAGGATTGCGGAGAACGTGTACACCAGACTTGGGAATTAAGAAAATCAGAAACACTTGCAAGAGGTGTCAACTCATCCTGCACAAATGTTGGTCTCTGTATGATCTCTTACAAGTCAAATTGCCTTCAGTTCCAAAGCCAAACTCGCATCGGCTGTCACTTCTCTTTCCGCGGAAGCGGTATGATGTTCTGCTCAAGCTCAAGTTCTTCACCAAGGCTTTGAGGTCAAGGTGTTCTTCAAACATCCAAGAGCTCACTGGAAGAGCTCAGTCAAAGCAGCCATGCTCCGCCTCCGCACCAGGCCACAACAAGAACCTGGAGCCACACCAGGTGTCTCTGATTCACCTTGAGGAAGCTTGTTCTGCTCCGAACTGGCTGGAGTAGAGTTCTGGATTGCTGGAGTCATCTGCAGCACGGATGATGATCGATCTATCATCGCAATCTCGTCCACGAAGCCAGCTGTGATTGGATCCTCTACTTCTTCTCTTTCCGACTGGACTCCAACAACGCCAGCCACGGCAGCTCGGACCGGCTGGACCCGCGGGCGTCGCGGGACCCGCGCGTGTAGTCTTCAAGCTGCTGTTGCCGTCGACGAAGGTCCTGGTCTTGGTCGTCCACGTGGCGGTTGCTGGCGTGGAGTCGTCGCAAGAACTCGGCGCTCTTGCCCTCCAGGGATCAGGGGGATGCACCATCCAGCTTAAATCAACGAATACTCAACGAATAGGGGGCCTTGCTGAAACGGAGTTCCTTACGTTCATCACCCCAGAAACGAATCCAGAGGACTACAGACACCAAGATTCGGGTCTACAGCGCAATGAAAGAGAAACGTGGAAAAAAATGACATATGGTTAATACCGTTGGAAGAGAATCATCCAACATGAAGCATTTATCAAACATGTGGATGCGGTTGTTGGATGTGTCCAATCTTTACTGAACCCATGAACGGGGCCCTGCCTGTTGTTTCTTGAAGTCATCATTCTCCAAAATGCTGGCATCGGCGCCAGTCATGACTTTTTCCAAAGAACTTAAGAAGTGCCTGGAGAAGGGAAATGATCAACCATTGAGGCGAGAAAACACCTAGCATATCTTATTACACATATTAATGCACGTTAGAGACGTGGCTTCAGAATTCCCGCATCCCCTTATGTATGCTACACAAGGTGACCTGATCCCTTGGCGATATGGGAAGCAAAGCTTCAACGCAAAATCATGGAGTTGCCCTCCTGCCTGGCGTTGAACTCATCCATCACCCCTGGCTCGTCGATATGAAGGAAACCTCAGCTTAGCTTCAGCAGCTTGGAAAGGACCCAGCCAGCACCGGGGGAGAACGAGGGTTTTTGTAGGCTGTTCGCAGCCTTGCATCCTTAACTCAGAACCAAACCACCAATCTATAGCGACGAACCAAAAAGTGCAGTATTCTTTTGCACAGAAAAAGTCGTGGGTTTTAGTGTCTGTTCCTATTTGGGTTACCAAAAGACCAGAAGAAAAACAGCCATGAGGCCTCCTCCCGTGACTTCTGCAAGAGCCTCATACTTCGCAGTGTCAGACCTTTGGATCATGGGCCCCATGAAGGGACCTCTGGGAATGTCCACCACAACGATGTGCCATTCGATGTCCTTGGGGTTGGGGAGTCCAAACCCGGAGTCCAAACTGGTCTCCTGGTGCGACTACAAGAGTTGCCCAGCTCTAGGGGGTTGGAAGAGAATGGCAAAACAGAAGAAAGGTCCAAACGCAGAAGGACGTGGACAAACCAAAACGTTGCCAAAGCCGTCCCAGAGGTCATAGCCATCCTTCAACAACTCCTTCATCATCGGATCCATGCCCTGGATGCCGTGATATGGATGCGGGCTGCTCACATCCAAGCCATCAGTGATGACGATGACGCGCAGCTTGCCGTTGCCGGGGATGTACTTGTCTCGCAGATCTGTCAAGATCATGTGCCACATGTAGGTGCCTGCTTCATAGGTGCTGGATGGTGCCGGGTTTTTCGGTTTTTTGGTGACTCAGTGGATGATGAAAACATTAGCCTCACTCTCGCCAGGACAACTCTGCACCTCCGAAAGTAGGCAGATAGGTTAGTTTGGATGGCAAATAGCGGAGGTGTCGGTCGGAGGTGCGGAGAAATCCTCCCGTGAATGTCCGCGACTGCGGGACGGTGTGTCTTTTGTGTGCCAGGACTGTTCGGACCGACAACAAATGCCCTCCGTGATCGATTTCTAAAAAGGCCGTCGCAAAGGTTCTTCAATGCTCCATGGGTGAGCTCGCCTATACACTTAGCCACTGTGAGGGGACACCTGGTCGCCCCAAAGATCATCAGCAACCACCCGGCTGGTGGGCTTGATTGCGCCGGAAACACGGTCAGATGGGTCCAAAGGCAACCCGGGCCTGCTGACTTCCCCTTCCACTGCAGGCAAAGGATCTCAGGATTCAAGCTGTCAAACTTGGGGCTGAAGTACTTTCCTTGCTCACCCCTTGGCCCGGACTCAGGATCGGACAACAGAGCAACAAGTCGGTCGGATAATGTGAGGCGAGGCAGGCAGAATGGCAGAATAGCCAGATCACTTCAGTCGTTATTTCCAACACAGACCCTCTCACAACCTTGCAGAGTGTTGTTGTTGTTGGGATGCCCCTCATCTCCAAAACCAGCCCTTTTAAGTCATTTGGGCTTGCGGATAGTCACCCGGCCGAATGGAAACACTGCATTAGTGAAAAGTCGAAAAGTCACTTCGTTTTATGTTACAACACCATGGAAACGCTTTTAAGGACTGTTTTGGACAACTGTTGTACATCGAGAATTTAATGCCTCTCCACACTAAAATGTTGAAGTGGGTAAATGTTGGGAGCACTGAAACCCAACGAGAACGTAAGTTAGTGTCATGAGAATTACATCCCTATACAAACAAGTTTGGAGGGAAACATGGCTACACTTGAACAAGTGCCGTGCGAGTCTTCTCAAGCCCAGCACGAGTGCCGTGCGATTCCCAGGCAACAAAGAGAACCTAAGAGCAATACTGAGCGTACATCTTGCATCTTGCATCTAACCCGCATGGAAACGCATCCAGACGACTTTCTCCAGACGACTTTTCCCAACTACCCAGCATAAACCCTGCTGAACCCTGCTTAAACCTGCTGCAACTGCGGGACCTCATGCCGACTTGGATTCAGGACCATTCACCAATGTGTTTGCACAACCAATATGCATCGTTCTCCACCTGGACATCGCCAATCAATAAATATCAAGAAGTATTCCCCCGCAGCCCACACCTCCAACGCCCCAAGACTTCCTCTAAAAGATTAACCTAATCTGCAAACAGCCCATCTTCGGAGGCGTCCGGGGTCAATGACCGCCCCACGCTCTTCGCTCTTTGAATCCGAGCGGAGCGGCTCCTCCACGACGACCAGGCTGCGCGCACCGTTCTCCGCGCTGCGTCGGCTCCGCGGCTCCTCCCGCGGGACGATGACCTGCTTGTGGTCCGCAAACCTCGGCCGACCCGGACGACCCTGGACGAAGCAGGGTGTGGGCTGGTAGAAACAAGTAAGCCCCCCTTGAAACATCTGACACTCCAAGATTGCAATATCTAATACTAATTTGTATTTTCTTGTTCCTAATAGCTTTATTGTTCCTAGTAGTAAGGCCAGGAGCCCCGAACATAGCGTCCGAACGCTCCGTTCGTAGCGATGCCTCTACCTTTTCTTGAAACATCTGACACTCCGAACTTGCAATATGTACATGAAAGCTTAAGAAGAGCCAGCGAAAAGCCTATGTTCTGTCAAAGATCCGAACAATCAAAGGGGAACAACCATCGTGAGCTGGTTTAAGCTGGGGTCCAGGTGGATTGCTGACATAAATCTCCAAGTGACGTGCAGACACGCGTGGGGCTGTCCTGCACACACCGCAGCCACAGTGCTGCTCAAACAAAGCAAAACTTAGGAGACTGGATCACCATGGTCTGTCCGTTGGGGTTGAAGTACTCAGGCAAAAGCCATTCATGTTACACTGAAAGTCATGGCAGAACTCTGCTCCATCGCGGCCCCGTCCGAAGTTCGGCCCCTTCACGGATGAAATCAGCGACCTCAGGTCCCTTGCAATAAGCAAAGGGTGTACTTTGGATACAAACATTGGAGCTTGCGAAACATTGGAGGACCTTGCGGGTGGAGTCTCAAGAGTAGCCACATCTAGACCCACACGAACCCGCACGAACCCACGACATGGGCACGCAGTGATGACCTCCACCCGCTCCTGCAGAAGGTGGGCCATCTTCCTCAAAGCGGCCTTCGCCTCCGAGAGGTTCTGTCCACTCATGGACGCTGAGTCATCCAGATAAAGGACCTGGTGGCAGAGGGGAACCAGCAAAGACGATCCAACTGATCAAGTGAGCACGTGACTGATGGGTCTAGCGAACATGGGTTTTGGGATGTTTTGGGGTCTGACAGTCTGTCAATGTGGATCAGCCTTCCTTCTGACACTTGACACGAAAAAGACCTCTTCGAACGCCCAGGCGCTGTTTCCAAGCCATCCACCTTCACTGGCCCCTCTCGCAAGTCCAACGCCCACGGCAACAGCTCGAGCAGCTGTCCAACCACTCCAACCGCCACCGCAGCACCGCCCCCCTTCACCGGCACACCACCAGCGCCCGCTCGCGCGGATCCTGCGCGGCCAGGCGCAGGGGCAGCATCTGCCAAGAGGGCGCCCAGGGCGGGGCCATAGCGCTTGGTCAGGCGCCAAGCTGCACCTCGTGCGGCAAGCGAAACGAGAAGCTACCGAACATAGCAAAGGGCATCGCTACGAACGGAGCAAGAAGCTTCTAGTAGCTCCTGGCCTTACTAGTAGCAAGAAGCTACGAAGCTAGCAAAGGGCATAAGTTGCCCAATGGTGAGTGTCAGTCGGAAGGCCTTCCTTGCCTCTTCGATCTTACAGAGCTGGTCGTCCCCCTCGCCCCAGAGGATTGGCTAGTCGCTACTGCCCAACCATCATGCCGACTGAAGTGAGTGAAGTCGGATTGCTTGGCTTTCCCAGACTGGTGCAGGCTAAGGGTGACTGCTCCAGTGGAAGGATCTGGTTTTTCAACAAAACTCAAGATGATGAAAGAATGTAGCGATGGTAGGGCCGATCAGAGTAGCAGAATCTGCGAAAACACCCAAGTGATGTAGGATACATCTGCGGCCTATGGATCTTCTGCAAATACAAATTCATGTATCATGGAACTGTTCAGTGTAGGGGCTTTTCCATGAAATTTAGGAACAGAAGACAGCGTAAGTCCGCAAGAGTAACATGAGTCTCATGTTAAGGCTTGGGTTTCCAAAGTGGAAATTTGTATGTGCCGATCCTCTTGGTGTTCAATTCTCAAGGTACTGTACCACAAGCACCACGGGCACCAACAGCACTACGGGCACCAACAGCACCAGGGCGCCAATGATTGAATCCACCACTGAGCCCTTGCTGGCTGAAACTTCAGCCACGGCCCCAGATCGTCCTACCTTCTGATCTGCAACCTGCAGAAAATGCAAGTCCAAGTCAATGTCAGCAGAAATACAAAGCCGACATCAACTCAAAAAATGCAAACGTCCTATACAAATCACATAGAGTGCAATCGTCTGGGACGATGATGCGAGCTCTTGTGCTTTTCCGACCCACCTCCAGCTCTTGTGAAGTGAGCTTCTCCACGAAAGCGTTCCAGGCAAATGCGTCCTGCCGCAGCCCATGCAGCACCGCCGCCTGCTCTTCGCTGGTCAAACGCTCAAAAGGTCGCAGGACAGCGCGTGGACGGTGCGTTCCAAGTCTTCCATCCTTCAAGTGCTCCCTCAGTCCGGCGACAAGCATTTTGCGTTGCAAGGAAAAACACCTAACAGGAAGTAACTCATGCTTTTCCACTCTTTTCTGCCATCTTTCCAGATTTTTTGCCCAGCGGCCAAGCTATCTCATCAACCCCCAAGACCTTCCAGGCTTCACGCTCTGAGCTGGGCAACGAGCTCCAACGGCTTGCCTTCCCCACGGCAGTCGCCAAGGTCCTGGACGGGATGAACTGCAGCAACGGACCTGGCAGGCGGGGCAGTCTTGGCCTAGGCTGCACTGGGAATGGAATGGATCCCATTTAGGGCCTAAGGCATTCTTTCTGGAAAACGGGAAGGCAGGCAAGACTCAAGGGATTCTCAGAACAGATGATCCTGGAAGGACCTAGGGTGTTCCAAAATGATCTACAGGGTTTTCCGAATATGAATGTCTGATTAAGTTTGGTTTGAAAACAAGCAGTTGCCGGAGGACTCTTCCAGCTCCAGAGGCCTAGACTCCGGTTCCTAGCTCGAATGGAAATCGCACGATGGACGGCTCAAAACACCCCTGACTTCATAAGCAAGAAGCTACGCAGCTACTAGCGAGGCACTTGTTACAAGTAAAGATCATATACAGGCTCGCCTCGCGTCCCAAAGCACCTGCTCCAATCTTGTTGTGGCCGCGGCAGTCTGATCGCTCGCTGTTGATCGCTCGCTCTCGACGGCACAGCACGTGGCCATCGCCGCACGGCATGCGAAACGGCGCACGAAGCACGAAGACGATGCACATGGCCAGCCATGGAAAATCCGCTGCTAGCAGTTGTTTCTCACAACGTTGGTTCGTTGGGTTCGCACACAGAAATGACGAATGATTTCATCAGCCACCCGAGATGAAAAGGAATCCAAAAGATGGGTGCGCCCAAGCTTGCGAGTTTGGGAGAAAAGCTGAGAATGTAGCACCGGCAGCTGTCCTGAAAGCAAAGGTGAGCCAAGAACACATCCCAGTGAGTCAAAATGCACAAGCATGACCGCATCATGAAAACCCAAAAACAAAACGGTTGTTTAAATGGAACACGCCAACACGCTGGTAAGATACAAAATCCATCTTAGTTTGCTCCAGAAATAGGAGGTCGCCCAAGCACATTTCAATTTTAAAAAAGAATACAAAACATGTCTCAGCAATGGCCTCAATTTCGAAGGATGGAATCTGATCCCCAATTTGGGCAAGGGCAAAACCCAACGTGTCTTGAAAAAACAACGATCCCCAGGTTTTGAATCAGAATGTGCCCGAAACTATTCTGGAGCCGGACACCTCCCTCAAGCAACAGAATTCGGGCATTTCCCTGAGGCACCACAAACTGGGCACCTTTTTTTGTCAAGTGTTCGAGCTGCGCAAAGTGTTTGACTCTTCACACAACTGTTTTTGGGTTAAAGCACAGTCTTGTAATTTACAAGGGTAAAGGTGCCAATAGTCAGTCGGCATTGACCTTCAAAAGAACTCACATGTTCAGCGTTTCCCGTTCTCTTCCGCCGGAATCCGGTTAGTCACACATGCACAAGTTGAACACGCACATTTGAGAAGACCAAGTAGCATGACACTCTCTTCATATAGCTATATAGTATTTTTCGTATCTCTTCTCATATATCGAGAACAATGGTGAACCTGCCAGCGGCGTTACGTACAATCATTTTACCCACATAGCTTTTAATGAGAACATAATTTCGACTCTTCCCATTCAACGTTATTCTCACTGCTGTCAGCCAGAAACACCAAAATACAGTAGATCAGAATACATGAAACTGCTAAAGTGGAGTCACGTTGGAACCTGAATGAAACATTCTGTATGCACCCGCACATCTCTTGAGTTCAGGGACGAAAATTCCAATCCCTGACTGCACAGAGTGGAACCTATCAACAAACCGACAATGGAAGCTTCACACATGCCTTGAAAAGCTAACTGTTCAAGTGCATGGTGCACACATCTTAAATTTAAAGATGTGAAAAGTGTTTGATTGGTTTGTTTCATGAATTTTTGGAGTAATGCACTGCTAACTTAATCCACATATATGATGCACTATCCCTTCTTTGAAGGGAGGCATTATGCAAATGCTGCCAGCAAAGCACACCGGCGTTGTTCAACACTGAACTTGGAGGATCTTTCCACTGTGCTGCATGCATGAAATGGCTTGCTGTGACGGCATCTTCTTCAGGACACTGCATTGTCAAGACACCTTGTGTGATGTAGGGGCATGCACACCCCTTTTGGACAAACTGAGTCTTCAAGTCGACTTGAATCAATTGCATGACTTTGGTGAATGGGATTGGGCACCGCCCGACCTCGGCCGCAAGTGCGGCGTGGCAGCGTCCCACGCGCGAACTTCGGCTGGAAAGAGGGTTCTGTGAGATTGATGAGTTTCTCAAAGACAGAGTGGCGGAGAAGTTTTTGCACGGGTGGAGCCGCCGTTTACGCAGAAAATGCATAGGTCAGCTTGTGCTGCTTTTGAAAGAGTCTCTTGCATGAACAACAAAAACCACACCAAACCAAACCACCGCGAAACAACAAAACAACAAACAACCAGAGAAGAGAGCAGGAGACTCTTGAGTGTACATGCAAGGTGAGACCGGTGTGAGACAAAAATCGGGCGTTGAATTAGAAAAGCTACATGAAAAGCCTGGAGCCAAGTCGAAGTTGCTGACACTATTCCTGGCTTGGTTAATTAGGCCTGGACGAGTTGACCACATTATGAGCGAGAGAAGCAAGTGATCCTTATGCCCGGGATATTGCTTTGTGTTGCTTTGTGTTTATTAAGGCGTGGGCAATCAGATCAGACCAACTTTGACTAGCTAGTCAGGCGGCATGGTTGATATTTAGGGTGCGTTTCTGTTCTCCAATGCTCAGAATTCATGACTCTGGAAAACCACTGGTGACAATTCGGCTCTGACGCGCCAAACGAAAGGGCAATCCATTGTCAGCAGTGCGGCCCATCGATGCTGTTCAGTAAGTTTGGCTGTCAGTGAGATGCAGATGGCTGTAATCAATGACATATCAAAAGAGGGCAGGGATAGTGATGCCCCTTGCTGTCTTGCAGCCATGCATCTCCCTCCCACAGAGGGAGGGGGGAGATGTCTCACCATGGTGCCCCTCTGAACAGCTGATCAGCGAGGGTGGTTTTTTTCTGCACATTTAGGACAGTCAGCGGCAAGCTTGTTGGGACATTGAGACACGAGTGGACAGGCTGTCATCCAGTGCATCACGCAGCGCCCTTGTGAAACAGGTGAAACAACTATAGGACGGTATTTGCTGCACACTTTGTACACAGCTGGCAGGGTCGGAGCCCACGCCCATGGACAAGTCCTTTTTTTTGCACGTGTCGAGGCACTATGTGTGCAGGTTATGCACAAGTCACCTTAGGCTAGTAAAAGAAGGAGAAGTGAACCTGCCAACAAGAACAGGCAAAAGCAAAAACACCAAACAAAAACCAACACTCCAAAACCAAACCAAAAACAAAGGCAACCAAGCAAGGCAAGGTTCACTTCTCGAGAGGCTGAGAGAGCCAGATATAGGTGAAACTGACATTTATCAGGGGGCAAAATGAATTCATCCCTTGCACTCAGTTCATCTTCATCTGGATAGTGCACAATTCACATCAAGAGAGGATAGAAGTACAGCAGTGTGAGAAAACCGCTGGAGCATCAATCGAAAACTTCAAATCGTCGAGAGAGGAGCCCAACGGAGCCATACCGACAAGGCCGCAACGAAACGAGAGCGTACGTCGAGAGCGCATGCTGAGGGCAAGCTTGTGACCACGACACCCTCCCCCCCAAGAGGGGGGGAGGACGCTATTGTTTTTCCACGAGTGCGGACGCCATGTGGGCGGTGCGCCCAGGTCATCGTAGAAGGATAGGAAACACTGCATATTGAAGGGGGAGAAAGACCAGAAAAGAACAGGAAACCGCCAACAAAAACCCCAACCAAACCCCAAACACAAAACCAAAAACCAAAAACACCACACAGACCCCCATCCAATGTAGGCAGTGTTTCCTCTGTACTAAGGCGAAAACGGTGAAAATCGAACGGGTCACCAGCCGGAGCGTGCATACAAACTTTAGGAGGGGGGGAGGTTGCTACTGGGGGCAAGGACGCTACTGGGGGCTCCTGGCCTCACTAGTTTTTTTTTGGCACGGGTGGAGGCGCTGTGTGCGCCGAGAGGCACAAGTCACCTTGATTGAATTAAATGAGGAAGCTAATGAGGTACAAGCCTAGTAACAAAGAAAGGCACCACACCACAGAACAACCAAACACAAAACCAAGCGAAACCAAAACACAAAACACCAAACCACCAGGCTCGTATCTTCGCAGGGCTATAAAAGCCGAAGCAAAAGTTGCGAGAGAGGGGTGAGACGGGGCTTCGAATTCGTTCTTCCGCTTGCGCTCAGCACTTGATGGTCAAGAAACCGCGAAATTCCTTTCTGCGGGCAGTGAGTACTTGTGTGACACTGTTGGCGCTTGCCAAGATGTGCAAGGAGTGCCCATGTTTTGGAACATTGCGAGCAATTGCTTTTTTTTGGCACGGGTACGGGCGCTGTGTGTGCCGAGAGGCACAAGTCACCTTGAATGAATTCAGAGTAGGATGAGAAGACACGAGCCAGAACCAAAAAGGCCCAGCAACAAACAACCAAACACCAACCAAAACAGCAACAACCCACACAACAGGAGCAGGCTCATATCCTCCCGAGATGTGAAACAAAAAGGTGAAGATCACGAGATCTAACACGAGAGTGAAACGGGGCAATGAGTTCTACATTCAGGCTGCACTCAGTTAAGGATGTCCATCATCAAGCCCCTTCCTGTTAGTTGGGTGACGAGTGTCCCGACACAGGTGTTGTGCTGCACAGTTGTCGTTAAGCAAGACCGGATGCAAATGTGAGGTGCTTTTCAGGCCAGTTTCGGAGCTAGGCAAGACGAAACTTGTATCAAAGACCACGAATGAGCCTATGCTAACGTAGATTTGCTCCTAATTGGCCTACTCTGTAACGAAAGGTCTCCAGTTTGCGGGACAAAATTCCGGCTGGCTCATGGCCTTTGCTTGAGCATTGTAATACGCCGGGTATGTGCCAGGACAAGAGGTAGGGTAGGCAATGGGCATCACCCCCTCTCGACATAGAGGACACATCAAGGCAAGACAATCCAGGAAGTAGTAAGGTGCGTGCATGCCGACCCACAGAAGCCACTGCCTCTATCCCGAGTCGTAAGAGGCATGACTCTATGGTATCTCTGTTCAAACATGCGAACTTGAAAAAGGGCCGAAGATCATAAGAGGCCTGCAGCGGGCTAGCAGTGGCATGTAGAGATGTAGCTACGAGACCAACCACCTCCCCCCGAAGGGGGAGGTGATGAGGGCGTGCACCCAGAAAGCAGTTCCAAAACCAGGACAATCGGGACCTGCTGTGGTCACACAGCGTAGCAAGATGAGCCTCTCCGATAACAACCAAAGTGCAAGTCACCCGAAAGCGAGAGCAAGTATGGCACGGTGGGCCAGCCTCGGCAGGTTCTGCATTTTTCTAGGGTCACTCGAGTGCACCGAAGTTCTAGACGTCACGCAAGCCCCATGAACTACGTGAAACGGTGAAACGCCGCTATTCCTAGTACTAGAGAACTGTACACTGTACCACGCCCTGACCACCTCTTGGGAGGCAGCCAGGGGAGCTGGCTATCTACTCAGTTGCACTGGCAAAGTTGGCAAATGGAGTCACCGACCTGCGACTCCTTGCTGATCTGCTAGCTAGCTCCGAGCCGAT